AAAAAAAAAAAAAAAAAAAAAAAGACCGACCACAATGCACTTTATAAATGAATATATTTACTTTATAAATCTATTATTCGAATGGATCCTGGATAAATGAAAATGGAAAATCGGGGCCTACACATGTACGACATGAGCAAAACGTTGTGCAACCGTGGGACTGAAAAATCCCTATTAAATCAGTTTGACACGCAACTCAAAGTTTTCATGGGGCTTTAAAAGCAATCTTTTATTAATTTCTTAAGTGCTGTATAACATTGAAGGAAGGTATCTTTAGAAACATTTCAAAATAGGATGTGCTTGCTTACACGCCCAGTTTTTGAGAAATGTTGACATACTGGTACATGCACAGATGCACTAAGGATAGCGGTTTATTATCATCTAGATACCGAAAATGAGTTTTTTCCTACCTCTGTGCTGATTTTAAACAATGTTAAAAATAAAAAAAATCCCTTTGAAAATATAAAATATCGTCTATTATATTTCTCGTTGCTATGTATAAGCATAGGCAACTCAAAGCTTTTATCGTCAGTTTAACATCTTTCTATTTTTATATGAAATTGCAATCGATATGGGGCGTAACTTCATCCCAGAATGAAATTTTGTCACAAAAATTGGCATAGTTGACCACAAGTGTATGGGCTACAATCACGTTCCACTATTTTGGTTTAAATGTTTTTGTTATGGGGTTATTAGCCCCTAATTGCAGTTTTTCAATAAACAAAGGCATTATTTTGCTTTATCAACGATAAAATCTGAACTAAGGCTTTGAAGAGAAATCGTTAGTTTAGATCCAGTGTAGGCCTACTACTAGTATATTTCAAGAGCTGCAAGGGACCTTAAGTGTGATTTTTCAGAAATCGAACGGGGGATCAGGACCCCCCTGACACCCCCCCCCCTAAATCCGCCACTGGAATCCATATTTGTTCGTTTAAATGCGTGAAGTAGAAGCGGATTTTCTAATGCCATGGTTATCATATGTATGCTGTTCAGTAGTTTAGTCGACGTCTTGTTGTTTACGCCAAATGCGCCATCTATAATGTAGTGGATAGTGTTGAATGAAAGTTCTGACAGCGTGGTCTTTGAATTTATCCCGTTCTATGACATGGTTTTAGAAGTCGGGTGGACAGATGAACTCTAGTGGTACTAGAGACACATTTGTAAGAGAGGAAAAACAAGTGTTTCGAAGTGAGCGAAAATGAGAAACGTCATCAGGTTAGAGGTAAGCATAAAGCTCAGTCAAGTGTGTGTGTCGGTGTGTGTGTGTGTGTGTGTGGGGGGGGGGGTCTGTCTAATTTAGGATATGTGTCACCCTTCGCCCAAAACTAACAAACAGGATTGGGTAGGATTGATTTATTCATTAAATTTTAGCAAATTTTATCCAGAAATTAATGTTCTTGCATGTTGTTTATATTCCAGCACAATCAAGCAAGTGCAGAGGCAACGTTTGTTACATTGAGGATTCTAGTTTCACAGACTTTCAGAGTGCAAGGCAGAGATGCCAGTCATTTGGAGGCGATGTGGTTATGGTTGACACACTTGAAGAGAGAAGATTACTGACTGAAATATGTCTTCGTAGTAAGTATTTATGTATTACTAGAACTAGATATCACATAATGACAAATGTGATGAGATATGGGCCCAATGTGAGCAAATGGCTTTATAATATTGGTCCAATGTGACTCATTAATTGGCAATTTAATTGACTTGACTTGCTATCTGAGTTTGCAGTACAAAGTTGCACCTTGTAAAACTTCAAGAAGAATGGCTCATGCGGTACAGGTCCTGTTCCAGTTTGTCCTGTATTTTGGTACTATAAATCACTCTAGTTAGTTCAAACATAATATGCCAGCCACATGTACATATATGTAGCTATATGCTTTTTTGTCTTAATAGAAAACAAATAGGGCACAGTGATGATGCCAGTAATGATATGTTCAGACAAATACTAGTATCTCTCCATAAAAAGATGACTAAAAAGAAATAAATATTGTAGTTAATGGGAAACCAGCCATGACACCGTTATGTACTGTGGTACAGTGCATAAGTAATTTATACATTGTATTAATAGCTATTATATAGTTTTATTGAATTACAGCATGTTACTGATGAAATAGTTTTCTCAGTCATTTTGTTGTACAATACAGTACACAATACAATAAAGTTTATTTTCATGTCGGAAAGAATGAAAGTAGCTATTCACTGTCAGAATAAATTAAATAATGATACATTGTTTACTACTACTTTATGTAATCCATTAGGTAACTATACTGCACCGTACCTACTGATGGGAGCAACTTACAGTTCAGAACAATGGGTGTGGTTTACTGGAGAAGCAGTAAATCCATCAGTCATGTCTTGGGCAGTTGGGCAGCCTGAAGATCCTTCTACACAGCCATTTCTGTGTATTGATTCCACAACTGGTCTTTGGCATGATTGTGCAAGTGATTTACAGGGAGTTTTGTGTGAGACCCCATCATTCTGTCCAAGACTGGGCTGTTGCCCTGGCGTAAATAGTACCTGTAGAGTAAACATACCTGGACATGGCGGCTGTTATTGTGATGAATATTGCTTAAGAGCAAACGATTGTTGTGAAGACTACGTGGACACCTGTGTAGGTATGCAAATTTTGTTTTAATATTTTACTAAACATTTTGTATTTTATATGTAGAGAAATGTTGTTTAATGTCAAATGAACTACTAGTACTAAATCAGGCCAATTAACCCTCTGGTCATCAATTACACCATAAAAACATTTTTTTTTCATACAGGGCATCCATGTACGGTAGTGGGATGATTTCCACACTGAAATGCATATTCATGTTAAATTTCTGTTTCTGATGGTAATACATTTATTCTTTCTTCAGTGATCGATGAGTGCTTTGCTTACACAACTGTTACTGGTGAAATATCAAGAAGTTCAATGTACCACAAGAATTCTGTTGAAGCAGTAGCATGTGATGATAAAATAGACCACGGCTGGTTAAGATTTGACATGATAACTGGGAATGATATGCCTGTGACCTGCCATTTTGAAGGTGACTGTGGTACAGATAATCCCATATGGCTTAATGGTAGGTACCTTTAAATATTTATCTTTCATTGTTATATACAGACACTGTATATAAAAAGTGTCTGAATAGTGTCTATATATATTCTGATTAGTATGGCTGTCCACAGTCTGTCTCTCCATGTCATTGCTGTCGCCGTCGCCATCCCTGTCACTATCGACGTTTTCCTCATAACTGCCAAACCATATTTTTGTTTTACTTTAAATTTACTGATACCCCATTCACACTACGCTCAGTTATCTGGATAAGTTGCTAATTAGGTCACAATTCGAATAAATACAGTTGTGTGAACGCAAGAGGATTTCTGTAATGTGAATTTTCAAAATCCTGCAAGCGAGGTGGATTTCTAAGTGCGATCTGAATAACTTACCAGAATTGACACCTGTACAGATCTTACTGCGCATGTGTGCAGATAAGTGCGGGTATCTATGAACGCTTGTTTATTACTTTAGCAAGTGCACCAAACGTATTTGGAGGTCACCACTTACTACAACATGAGGAAACATAAATTTATTTTGTCATCTTATACATCTCAAGAATGCTGGAATGTCTTTTGAGTCGCATTTGTCGTCACAAATTTTTGTTGGTATTTTAAGATTTCCTGTGCGGCGCATGCGCGAGCGTTCAACGTGTGATTCGGTTTCGCTTAGCGTGTGTGAACGCAATACCGAATCGAATTCCTCAGGAAAAATTCTAATTATAGAAATGCGCATTTGTGCAACTGTAGTGTGAATGGGGTATTAGTGACCTTGTTTGGTAAAGAGGCAGGATGCGTTTACATTTTACGTTAATTATTCTGTTTTTTTCCAAAATTTTTGTGACATGGGCCCCATAACTTTTTAAACTGTATTTTTGTTTTACTTTCAATTTACTGAGTGGCTTTGTTTGGTAAAGGTGCAGGATTTTTTTCAAAAATCGGCATGATCGCTTTACATTTTCAGTAATTATTCTTTTTTTTTTTGTGAATTTTATAATTTTTAACACAATAACATTTCCAGTGGCTTTTATATCCCATATGGAACTGAATCACTTCCTAGTTTTTCAATGGCCATGTTACCTGTAGTACATAATGTAAGAGGGTAAGAGTGATTATGCTCTGAAAGCATTATGTAACAGTGCGTCAAAATTGGCCAAAACATTATTGTTTGCACTTTTTTTTTTGCATAATGTCTGAACGTTTGTCAGCTTTTCTGCCTTGTTTCCTGTATGGTGTCTGTATATTTGTCAGCTTTGCTGTCTAGTTATAGAAATGTGTCCTAATTGCGTATACCAACTCAGAAAACTGTAATCAAAAGCTCACATAAGGTGCATTCACAATGAATCTGTCATACTTACTACAGTATGTAGTGTGCATTAATTCCACTGGGACTCTCTTGGCACAGTGAGAGAATATAACCGCCTTATAACTGTAGTGAATTAAGAGGCCAATCGAATGATGTTGTGATATTATAGTTTTTCGAAAATTGCAAAGGGGCTTTCCAATGTAAAATTAAAAAAATTCCTGTGACTGGATCTGATCCAGGTAAAACATATTTTGTGCAATGTTATCCTGTGGGGATTTTTTTAAATTTCAGGATTTTTTATTCAGAATAAGATCAGGGCCATCAACTAAAATTGGTGGTCAGATCTGGGTACCAGCACATTGATTAAAAAAAATCTGAGCAATACATTCAGTGTTATGAGCCAGACAGTGTAAACAGACATACCTATAAACAAACACACAAGCACACACAAACCGACCAAACAACATACCTTGCAATTCTGGAAAGGGGATTTCAAAAAAAAAAAAAAAAAAATAGTAATAAAATAAAATAAAATAATAATCCATCATGGAGGTCATGAAATAGCAAAGAAACATTACCATTTATCACTAAATAGGGAAAGTTCAAGCACTTATAATTACTTTATCACAATTTTTGTATCACAGGTTCCTTACCCTCTGCTGCTGATGGTGTCATCAACAGAACCGCATGTGTAAAGAATTCCACAGTTTGCTGTGCCAAGACGTATGACATACAGATTAAGAACTGTTCTACATACAATGTGTATCATCTGCCACCTGTGACTCAGTGTCCTGAGCGTTACTGTATAGGTCAGTGCAAGCCTCAAAATTTTTCATTGATAGTGAAAAAACATATATACTACTAGTTCCTACGATGTATCTTGGTATTTCCCACGTATAATGTGACTGTTTGAATTGTAATTTGTCATTTGTTCACGTTCTCACCATGGCACAAAATACACAAAATAAACATTAATGCTATATATGGGCATGTTAGTATACAGCAATTTTATGCATTGCATGTAACTGATATAAAAGTGATTGCACTGACTGTAAAATTTAATAAGATGCACATTTTTAATGGTTGTACATGTAAAAAAAATTCTTATTTCCTCATCTGGTTTACAATTCATTTAGGTGATAAGGCACTCTGTCCCCCAGGAACTGTCTCAGAAAATGGATTTGAACCAGGTTGCTCAGGTTAGGTCCATACATTTATTAAATTTAAAGAGTTATGCATATGATGAAGGTTTTATAAAGGTCACACTTTGTATAACACTTGACAAGCATAAAAATATACTAAGATGGATAATTAAAATAATTGAATATATTTACACAGTTTTTAAGAATTGGCAGCATTTTGGTTAACTCACATTACAGTAAACTAAAGGGAGAACAACTGTTCTTATCATATCCATATTTCACATTAAATACACTGTAAACAACTCACAGAAATATGATAAATTCTATTTTACCACCAAAACGGTGGTTAACGCAATTTTCCTGGAATTTGTGCTTGCCATCAGATCATGTTACCTCCATAGATGGGTACACTAATCTCTAAAGAGAATGTTACAAAAAAGAAAAAAAAAACTTTTTAGGAAAAAACCAGGGACTTACTTTGAATGTCGGAATGGATTCATTAACCATTGGTCAGTGTGGGAAAATTGTCGTTTACCCCAGGAAAATCCATTTTTTTTGGCCAAAATGAACCTTTTAACAAACTTCCCTTTAAATAAACAGTTTGCGTATAAAAGTTTTCATTTTGTTAGATAACTTCCCAAATATAACGCAGCAACCAGACATTCAAGTGGATGAAAGAGTTGTACGCTATACTTTTGGAAATATACCAAAAAAAGAGCTTATGTTCACCTGCCTGCCCTACTATGATGAAGTTCCTCCAGAGCGGCTGTCTCAGCTTGTCTTTGATGTGGAATGGTACATTGATTCACAACTTGTCCATGAGGAGGACAGTGTTAATGTGACTGATTTGCCTGCTCAGCTCAGAGAAAGTGTCTGGCTGAGCAAATCAATTACTCTTGGTTTTCAGGTAAGAGAATATGTGATATTTTTATAGCTTTTATAGGCTACATTTAAAACCAGAAATTTATCAGAAATAGTCTGGGGAGAGTATTGTTTTTATTAAAAAGTAATGGTATAAAAAATAAAGAGAAAAATGTCCAAATATAATGTTCTGTAACCATTGGTCAGTCATAAAACTTTTTAAAAAGAGTGTTTAGAGATTTTTAAAAATCACATGCTGCAAGAGCTTATATTTCTTAGTTCTGATATGGTAACTGATTCTTTTCATATGGGGCTGAGTATTCAAAAGATATTTCTCCAAATGTTTTAGGCCTTGCACAATTAGGTTTTAATTAAAGCTGGTCATTAGATCTTAAATGTGGTGAAACATGAGAAACAATTTCACAAAAATAATCGGGTGCAAGTCCATAAGCAGCAGCATGGTATATTAAAAGTTTGAATAAAATTCGTGCATTGACAGGTAACCAGTGAAGTTTTATTAAAATTGGTGTCATGTGATTCCCCATAGAAGTTTGAGTAAGAAGACAAGCTGAGATATTTTTGATGAGTTGGAGTTTCTTTCTTCTTTCTATGCTGCAACAGCAGAGTTAGCTGATGTTTCTGATATGATATATGCAGGATTTTTTTTTTTTCATATTTGGCTGTTTATTTATGGTTGAAGTGGTATCGAAGTAAACGCCCAAATATTTTTTATGGTGTGAAACTATGAAAATCAGATTTGTAGAGATGGTCTTTCAGCTAAGTGTTTAGAGTTTAGTTGGGTGATAACCGTAAATTCTATTCAACCATCATATTTAATTTACCTGCAAGGTACCTACAGTAGTTCCTGGTGCTGCTGTCAGTCAAGGTGCCATACTGTAAGATTTGAGGCCAATTTTTGGTATCAAATTTTATTCAAAGCCAGTAGCTTGTATCAGAATCTCAACTAATATTTACCTTTTTACTGAGCCATATAAGATGTTTTAAAAAATTTATCATTCCAGGTAAAATGCAGAGTAAAGGGAAAGTATGTACAAGATGGACAACAAGTTGGTGCCAGAAGTTTAGCTGTTGAAAGTCCAGAGTTTTTTGCAGGAATAAAGGTAAATGTTGCATTAGTGCCTGAAAAAAAAACTGACTACTTAAGAAACATGTTGAAATTTATTATTGTTATTATCATAAATAATAATAATGATAATTGTAATTATTTTTATACCTTATTATTTTATTGCAGTAAACTAATTATACCTTATTATACTATTGCAGTAAACTAAAGTTTGACAAGAATATACATAATGGAATGTTACAATACTATATAATGAGATGACATTAGACTATACAAAACAATAACAGTAAACTTCAATATAACTATGTTAATAAGGTATTTTTGTTTACCATACACTGACATATTACACCTTATAGATGTAAACTCAGTATGTATGTGTACACTTAGCATTATGGTTATAGTCAATATTTTTATCATTATATCTGGAGTATTGATTATGGATTTTATTGTTTTATTACTTTGTTTACATTTATAGTGAGCATAGAAAGATTTTTTTCTTTGATTATGCTGTACATATCTTTATTTCAGGTGCTGAATTCAAGTGACTTTCCAATTAGAATGAAAGAAAATGATCCCAATCCTGCCATTATAGCTTTTCAACCAACAGTGCCAATCCTGTGCACAGACAGTCCATCGCATGGCTTGTTTTGCAAAGACATCTTCCTCCAAGTGGAAGTCCGCATTCCACAACAATGGAAACAAGCACTGTGTCCATCAGAGGGTGGAGTTAGTCAAATACAACAAGTGGTGGTGGAGGCATGTGGCATAGAGATAAATGCTAAGTACTGGAATAAAACTGTCACCTTGAAAATAGCCCCAGTCATAGATGGAATATATGATGGAAACCAAATCACCAAAGTGTTGCTGTCAACAGCTGAGTTCAATGATCATCAAGCCTGGAGCAACTACAGACTACCAGATATACCAGTAAGATTGTTTTTTATTTTAAACTGGTTTTACATTAATGATGAAGTTACAGTTGTATATACCCATATAAGGATTTATAGCTGCCGAACTGCTTTTTGGATGTATCATTACTACAATTGTTCCCTGGGTTCAGCAGGGGGGTGTTTAAAGATGAGGGGGTTGTAAAGGGCATTGCAGCCCACATGTTTTTTACAACTTTTAAGGAACTTGGCCACTTCTATGAAAGGAAAAAACTGCAAAAGTGTGTGTAATTGCTAGGGAGTAATGTAATGAAAAATGGTGGCAGATACTATATAATTATACAGAATTATTTTTATTGCTTCTTGTAACGGATTAACTGATTTTCATAGGTATTGGTGGTTGATGCAGACATAGCTTTACAAGGACATGTTTGTATGGCAAACAGTGACCCACACATGGTGACCTTTGATGGAGTGTAAGTATCAAAATGTGTGCTTTGTATGTTATATCAAGGAATCTGATAACCTCAATTATACTTAAATTTTGGAATTGAGAAAATGCCTTGCATGTTAACTTAATTGTGACTTCTCAATCAGCATCTCAAAGTGTGATCTTAATCTTAATCCTAGTCATGTGACAATAACCAACATTCGACTCTGTTGTCTGTTTTTCTCTATTCATTCTGGCCAGTCAAAACTTAATTAGATATGATAATGTTGTCTCAAAGCTAACAGATTAGATAAAGATGAAGATATGGTATTTTTCTTTGTTTTTTGTTAATGAACAGACACAGATGTTTCTGTACATATAGCTGTCACCAGTCGTTGCTGTCACCCCCGTGCACTTTCACTGATAACATGATTAGTAGAAAACCATTTTACCTTTTGGCTTTAAACTTACAGAACTGAAAAATATTTATAAAATGCAGGTTTAGTTCGAAAATCAACTTCATCTAACCATTTTTCAAAAAGTTATGGTGTTTTTTTGCTTTATTCAGTGTTTATGCAGTACAGATTTCAAGGAAACTACACATTTCAAGGAAATCCAGTTGGCCTATTGTCTTGAAACTCACAGAAGTGATCAGTCTTAATAAAACAAAGGTCGAGTTAAAAAATCAGCTTGATGGACCGTTTTTCAAAAACGTTATGCTTTTTTTTTTTTTTTT